TTGAGCATTTTATTTCAGTTTTCAGTTTTGAGATATATACAGCATTTACAATTTTTTATTGATTTTTTTTTTTTGAGAGAGAGAAACATCGATAGGCTACCTCCTGCACCCCCCCCCCCCCACTGAGGATCGAGCCCACAACCTGGGCATGTGCCCTGACTGGGAATTGGACCAGGACCTCTCAGTCCATGGGATGGACAATGCTCAATCCACCGAGCCACACCGGCTGGGCAGCATTTACAATTTTTTTAATCCTCATCCGAGGACATTTTCCCATTTTTTGTACAGACAGAGTGGGAGGGAGAGAGAGGAAGAGAGAGAGAGGGAAACATCGACGTGAAAGGGACACATCGAGTGGCTGCCACCCGCACGACCAACCAGGGCCGGGGACAAACTGCAACTGAGGTATGTGCCCTTAGCGGGAACCGAACCCGGGTCTCTCCGGACCGCAGGCGGACGCTCTAACCGCTGAGCCAAACCGGCCCGAGCAAGCATTTACAATTTTTTACTGGCTGTTATAAATAATGCTTTCTAGGAGTACATCTGTGCACATATCTTTGGGAATTCCATGAAATAAATTCCAAGAAGGGGACTGGATGACTCAAAGGTATACATACACAATATAAAGGCCCCATTGATGGTATTTCCCAGTGTCACCCAGAGAAACTAGAACCTCGTCATTCTTGCCGGCAGCAGAGCTCACTTACCCTCATATTCCTCCCAACACCACATTTTGTCCATTTTAATCTTTGCTAACTCGATAGGATAACAATTATTCTTCATACTGTTTCAAATTACATTTCTTTGAAGAGTTGAAATTTTTTTATTAATGTGTATTGGTTATTTGCATTACTTCTGTTAATTTTTCTATATTTATTGATTTAGAGAGAGAGAAAGACATTGATTTGTTGTTCCACTTATTTATGCATTCATTGGTTGATTCTTGTATATGTTCTGACCGGGACTGAACCTGCAACCTTGGTGTATCAGGACCATGCTCTAACCAACTAAGCTATTCAGCTAGGACTGAGGGCAAGTATTTTTGTCTGTTTTATTCATGTTAAGACCCCAGGACCTAGCGCTGTACCCGACAGTAGGTACTTTATGAGTATTGTAAACACATACACTCAGAAATGGAATAACTCAATGTGAGCACTCTTGCTGAACCTGAGACCTGTTGCCAAATTGCTTCTAAAGAGATGGAACCAATTTGCACTTTCACCACTAGTGGGCAGACGACTAGCACAGTACAGTACTCCCATTTTAAGAGAGGCCGCTGAGACCCAGTGAGGAGAGCTTGCTGGTAGTGGAGGCTGGGACTTCTGACTGCCAGGAAATACTGTGGCAACTTAGAATACTGTGGGGAGATCCAGGAGGGCTTTATGGAGTAAGAGGTTCTTTTGGGGTGGGCATGGAAGAATGGGAAGAATTCTATCAGGTAGAAATCAGAAATTCTAGATATTTCCACATTGCTACATTCCAGGTAGGAGATATAATATAAACTGAGGATAGGCAGGGTCCAGGTGGACTGTGGTAGAGCCTTCCACACTGAAGAGATGGGAGGGGGCCAAGAATACCACCCAGGGAATTTGAAGTTAATGCCATGGGCACTGGGAGCCAGGGGGAATTTTGATCAAAGGAGTGACATAAGAACTGATTTTGTGCTGGCTCCCTGTCTGTCCATCTGCTGTCTTTCAGTTTCCATTTCTTTGTCCCTCTCTTTCTCTTGGCTGTCCTCAGCCCCTCCATGGCCAGAAATAACTGGCAAAATCATTTTTCTTTTCCATGTCATCGCCCTGACAACCTGTCATGGTGTAGGTGAGGGAGGGGATGAACCAGGAGCCTGTGTCTCTCAGCCTCCCCAGCAGTTCTGTGTCTCTCAGCCTTCCCCTTATTCTGCCCCTGGAGGAGCAGAGAAAACAAGACTTGGAGAGGCACGTGGGAGAGGAAGGTACCTCTTGCTCTTACCCCCCTTGAATGACTCTGAGGTGCTGGCCTCCCCTCCCGCTCTGTGGCCCCGCCCCAGACCCTTACAATTCTTGAGCTGATTCTTCATGCTTAGTACCAGTCAGTGCCAGCTGGCAGCTCTCGCTGGAGACTGAGGTGGCACGAATGTGGGGGAGGGAGAAGGAAGTGGGCAGGGGCCCAAGGGATCAGGATGAAGGGGGTGGTAGTCAGAGCTGGGTGACCAACATGGGGGTCACATGGGATGAAGGAAAGACTGGACAGAGGAGTATGAGGGCTTCCAGGGGAACAGAGGTGTCAGGTCCCCCACTCTGGCCCTCCTGCCCCTGGCAAACCTAATCATCTCCCCGCCACCCACTTTCCTCTGCACCCACCCCCGTAAGTTCCCCCTAACTAATTCATCTTGGTCCCTTTAAGAGCTGCCTGGGAACTGGGGCACCGGAGGGGGCTGGCAGGGCCCCCACTGCTTACCCTGCCATGCCTACCTCTGCTCCTCCCCCTGACTGGTACAGACTCTGCTGGAAGTCTTGGACGCCTGGGTTAGGGTCTTCACTGCTGGGCTGGGGGTAAGGTTTGAAAGTGGTGGGGAAGGGGGACCGTGGTCCCTGGGTTGGAATGGGGGGCGTGGGATGCCAGTTTCCTAGCACTGTGGACATGGAGTGTCTGTGTGCCAACTTCAGTGGATAACATAGGGGGCCCTGGCTGGGTGGTCCTCTTGCCTCAGACTGGGGGAAGGACAGAGGATCTTGAGGGGCAGAGCCTAGGGGGCAGGATGTGTGTGGGTCTCCTCACCCTCTGCTCTGCCATCTAACTTTCCCAGGACGCTCTAGCTAAACTCCATCTGCCACTCCCTGTCCCTCCTGCAATAAAAGACATAGAGCCCTAACACCCCATATTCCCACAGGTGGGGAAACTGAGGCAGAAGAGAAATGAGGATTAGACTGCAGGAAGTTTATTCCTCCTTCTCCACCCTAGAGAACTGGACACAGGGGACCTGAGTGTCCAGCTTACTCCAGCAAGTTCCTAACTACAGCCATGGCCACCACTTAGACTAGGTCCCTGCTCCCTCATCAGGACAACTTAGCACTTTCCTGGAGGTTTTGATTTCCATATGTCAATCAAGGTCAGGAATGGCTCCCAGAAGCCCATCTGGGTAACCTGGGTTGAAGGAGAGCCAGGGGAATCTTGTAGGCTTCCTCGCTTTACCCCCTTGGATTATTCAGAAATGTAGCTCCTTCCAACTCTGCCACAGAAACTGGGTCCAATTCTCCAAAAGGGAAGGAAATGGGGCAGGGCAGGGACCCAAGGACACCCCCTGGGTATAAAGTCTTCCTTCCTGTTATAACAGGAAGTTGTTTCATCTAGTCCCTACCAACTTGATTCCAAATTATTTCTTCCCCTCCTACCAATTGGCCCAGGCCCAGGGGAGAAGAGCCTGAACAAGCAGGTACCCTCTGAGCCCCCAAGGCCAAGGTGCTGAGGGCAGCAAGGATGGAGTCAGGAGTGGGGTGATGGGACAGCAGCTCTGCTTAGAGTTCACTTCTGCTTTTGATACATGCCATGTCCTCCTTGCACCGCCCCAGGCAAAAATGCTCACCCACCCCCCCAACCCAGACCTAAAAGGGAACCGAAGGTGGCCTGTGAAACCCTCTGCCCCGGGGCCAGCACCAGCATACTCACTTCCTTCCTTCTAAAAAATAGTATTATGTCTAGAAATGAGCCAAGCTGCTCCCAGGTGGGCTGCAAAGCCATTATTTTACCTATGTGAATCAGAGAGAGCAAACCCCCTGCCTAGTATCACACAGCAAGTAAGAGGCATTCAGGCCTGGGACCCAGGGTTCTTGCTCCCCAGCCCCATAATGCCTGTTTCAGAGTCTTCCCACAAGCTGAGAGACGCCAACCTGAAATGAGCTTTTTCAGTTCCTCATGTTACCAAAGAAGTCCAGAGAAGACAGGAGAGATCTCTGTTAACAATTGTTTGGGATTAGGAGTGGGAGAGGACACTTAGCTCAGGCCTGTCTCTCTCTCTCTTTTTTAAATCCCTATTTGGTCTAGACCTTTGGAAAGTCCATTCTGAAGTCTGCCCTCCATTCCTCTTCTTACAGTACAAACTTTCCCCTCCTAATAGGTCTCAGAGGTTAGTCAAAGACTTCTGGAAAAGTTATTTTCTTAGTAAGGTGTTTGGGAAAAAACAGCAGACTTGGAACCTGGAGGTGGCCCCCTTCCCACAGAAATCCAGACAATATTAATAGAAAAGGGCTTCTTAAAAAAATTTTTTTTCTTTATTGATTTTAGAGAGGAAGGGAGGAGAGAGAGATAGAAACATTGATGAGAGAGAACATTGATTGACTGCCTCCTACATGCTCCCCACTGGGGATTTGACCCACAACCTGGGCATGTGCCCTGACTGGGAATCGAACGGGTGACCTCTTGGTGTATGGGTCAATACTCAACCACTGAGCCACACCAGCCGGGCTTCTTAGGCTTCTTCTTTTTTTTTCAGATGGAGTGGGAAGGAGGGAGCAAGAGAGAAAAACATCGATGTGAGAGAGACACATTGACTGGCTGCCTCCCGCATGACCCTGGCCAGGGCTGGGGATCAAACCTGCAACCCAGATAAATGCCCTTGACTAGGAATTGAACCCATGGACCAACATTCTAACCGCTGAGCCAAAATGACCAGGGTGAGATATATATATATATATATATATATATATATATATATATATATATTTTTAATTAATTTGAGAGAGAGAAACATTGATCTATTTCTTCCCATATGTGCCCTGACTAGAATGGAACCCACAACCTGGGTATGTGCCCTGACTAGAAATTGAACCTGCAATTTTTTGGTGTACAGGACGACACTCAACCAAATGAGCCACACCAGCCAGGGCTTCTTAGGCTTCTTGACAGAGAAGAGACCCTGTCTCTAGGTTTATTTGCATAGATATTTATGTGTTCCTCTGCTTCCTCACTGGCAAACTCAATTTGCATGGGGTCAGGCTGGTGGGCATCCAGGTGTGATCACCCTGCATATACACAGCAGAAAGAGAAAAACCAGAAGGGACTGACCATAGGGAGGGGAATTGGCCGCAGCTGACCCTGAACCCAGCTTGGGGACATCTGTGCTGTGGTGCCTGCCTAACAGTGAGCAACGGAGCTGAACAATGACCCCCAGGGGCTAGTGTGCCCCCCTCTCACTTTCCCCCACATCTGGAGTCCTGCCTCCTCCACATGAAGATCCAGAAGCTGCAGAAGGTGAGATGCAGGGGGACACGAGTAGGAGGAGGAAAAATATGGGGAGATTCTAGTCCCTCCCACTTAGAGATGCGGTCGCCATGGTGACTGAGGACCAGTGAGGTGGGATGGGGTTGGGATGGGAGTGGAGGTGTGGCAGGACTAAGCTCTGGGATACGGAGGGCCTGGTGTTCCAGGGGGAGGAAAACGCCACAGCAGCCCCAAGCTCCAGGTAAGGAAGCAAGAGAGCTGGCAGTTCTGAAAGGAGAGGGTGGGCCATTGTCTGGTGCTGGCTCTGCCCTAAGTAGGGGGCAGATAGAGGGGGTCTGCCATTGTTTGTGATATTGAGCTCAGCCTTCCAGCACTAGTCAGACTGGAGAAGAAAACCTAGGAGGCCCTGGGTAAGGGGTTGGAGGGATTGGGCTGGGCAGGTGGCAAGAAAGCTAGGAGACAGCAGGGGTGGGAAGAGGTGGGGAGATTCTGGGAGAGTAGAGTCTTGGGAACATCCTTAGTGCTTTTTATACAGTAGGCACTTAATAAATGTAAGTTGCTTTGATCTGCTTTTGATCATAAAAGGAGGGCAACAAGGGGACAGGGCAGGTGGGGCTAAAGAAGGGGAGCCAGGAAGCTGATGTTCTCCAGGAATGAGCTCTTCTGGGCCTGCCCCAGAGGCTGGAAGGGAGAGGGGTAGGGCACACTGGGCCTGCTCGGTGAAGCCCCAAGTGGCTTCTCTCCTGGCACACGAGCCCCCCCTCCCACAGTAAGGTATCTATGCTTCAGGAGTGTAGAAGAGACAGAGCCCTTGGGTGAGCATGGAGTAGGAGTGAGAAGTGACATCACCATCTCCCCTCCCACCCTCACCCCCACATCTGGATCTCTACCCTGGGCCGGAAAGCCTGGCAGGAAGGGGCTACTGTTTGATGTGGCCTAGGGACTAAGGGGGAGGAGCCCCTGGAAGAGCTGAACCCTGGGGTCGGGTGGTGGGGTTGAGCTCAGCATTGTTGTCTTGAGGGTCCTCATGTTGGGCTCCAGGGCTTGGGGAGAAAGGAGCTCAGGAACCCCCACATTAGGGCTATGAAATGCATGGCCCCTGAACATCTCACCCCTTCCTAACACCACCCCACCTCCACTGCTGCCTGACTCAACTCAGCCACGACACTTCCCCTCCCTGGCCTTGGTTTCCTAATTTGTATAGTGCAGGGGTGGGACCCTATCAGTTTAGAGCTTCCTTGATGCTGTAGGCAGGACCTGCCACATCATTTTTGGATTCCATGCAGAAGAAAAATGTGGGGCCCCTTGTTAAAAAACTATTAAGACTTTTAGGATGGCTGCAGTAGAGTGTTAGATGAAGTGTGGGCCCATCTGAGCGTGGGGCCCTGTGTGACTGCTCAGCTCATATGTCCATGAAGCCAGCCCTGGCTATGGGCTCCGCCAGCTGCAGCAAGAGAGATGGCCCAGAGGTTCTAGTGCAAGAGGGACAGTGGGTAGGGGGCAGGTGGCCCTGCCTCTCCTCCGGTCTCTTCTGTGGAGCTGGACCAGGAGGCCCTGTGGAGGCAGGAGGTGGTACCTGACGGCCTTTCTTCAAGGGGTTTCAGGACTCACCCCAGAGATACTGCTTCTTAGCCCAAGAGGCTGGACTAGGGCAAGAGTAGGTCTTCAGAGAGACTGTGTAGCTAAGGGATTAGCTTTGAATGAGGTTGATCCGAGTTGAACTTGGCATTTAGCTGTGTAACCTCCCTGGATCACCTTCCTCATCTGTAAAATGGGATCCTGGGGGTACCTATCTGCTAAAATTGTTTGGTAGACCACAGCCTGATTCATATTGGCTGGAGGGGCTGGCGGGGGGGGGGGGGGGGTGCCTGGAGCTAGAAGGAGAATTCCTGGTTTTCTGGAGAAGAAGGAACTAAGGGCAGAGCACTAATCTAACACTTCCAGAGAGGCCAGAACAGGGCATCGGGCTGGAACTTTCTCCCCAACCCCCCCCCAACAGAACTCCTCCCAGTGACCCAAATAAGCCAATCTGTTCAAGCAGAGTGGCCCAGGGGTAGGGTAGGTTCCCAAATCTGAGCTGGGGTTTGGCAGACACAGAAGGTGGGGTCTGGGTGGGAGTTTCCCTTGATTCTGAGAGTCAGGAAGATTTTCTCTGGGGGAGACCTTGGTCTATGGCTTCTCCCAAGGACCTGGCAACCAACCCCCGTGAGAGTCTGAGGGCATCTTAAGCAAGTCTTGACAGAAACAGTTGTCAGGAGGGGTCTGGCTAAGACCAACCCTCAGAAAAATTGATGGCAAGTGGGAGCAGAGGGAGAAGGAAGGAAGGCTGAGCAGACTTTGACAAGGAGTTCTTCTAAGGAGTAGCTGGGCTGTACCGTCATCCTGCAGGCTGCTGCTGTGGGGAGAGGGATGGAAGTTACACTACAGGAAGGATTTCCTGACAGTGAGGAATGTGCACTTAAGAAGGAGGTGGGTTCCTTATTAGAGTCGGATTTACCTTGGAATGGCTGTGCTATTTATAACAAGCAGTCAGCTGTCTCAGCTGAGTGGGCAGGAAACTACCCCCTTTGTAGGTCACGGAGCTCTTGATGCTAGAGGCCTCATTAGCCATGCATTATGAGGTTCCCCCTGGAGCCATCGGGGAGGAGTGAGCAGCCACCATGGGGGGTTGGGTGCCTCCACAGTATGTTTGAGAAGTATGACCTCAGATGGGAAATTTTCTGGGCCTCCCACTGGCTTGATGCTGCCCTAAGAGTGATGGAAATTAGACTACCGGTGGCAGTCCCCCAGCAAAACCACGAATAAGAGCCAAATGCAATTGTTTTATTTGTAAAAGACTATGGTTCAGCCCTGGCCGGTTTGGCTCAGTGGTTAGAGCGTCGGCCTGCGGTCCAGAGAGACCCGGGTTCGGTTTCCGCTAAGGGCACGTACCTCGGTTGCAGTTTGTCCCCGGCCCTGGTTGGTCGTGCGGGTGGCAGCCACTCGATGTGTCCCTTTCACGTCGATGTTTCTCTCTCTCTCTCTCGTCCTCTCTCTCCCTCCCACTCTGTCTGAACAAAAAATGGAAAAAATGTCTTCGGGTGAGGATTAAAAAAAAAAAAAAAAAAAGACTATGGTTCAGCTGGAGGTGGGAGGTTTGAAGTTTAGACCACTGCAGGGACATCCCAGTAGGTAGGAGTGGAGAGACCTCACCTTGTGGGTAGGTAAAAAAAGGAATATGAAAGACAGTGTCATGTCTGGGAAATCTTGAGCATGAAGAGAGAACATTGCTCGTCTGGTTAGACCAGCTGTGATGTGACAGAGGGACAGGAAATGGCTGAAATGATCTAGAAACTTTCTGGCCTTTTAAACTTTCTGGATAGACAGAGGCGGGCGAGAGGAGGGGGAAAGAGAGAGGTGTGTCTCCTTTTATTCCCCTCCCAACTTCCGCCCAAGCCTGTCACAACTCGAGAGGTAGAAATTCTGGTTTCCCTTGCCCAGAGCTCCCAGCGCTGGCTTCCGCACGATGGGTGCCTGGAGGGTCTCACTCCCGGCCGAGCTGGGCTGAGCCTCTGTCCCCTGCCTCTGGGGCCTGGGACGCCCACTCACCTTCTTTCTTTTGGATGGCACCTCCACCCAAGTGTCCAGACACCTGGGTTCTACACTGTGACTGGCTCAAGGGTACGTGAGATGAGATGGGTGGCTAGGGATTGGTGGTCCTGAGAAGTTCATGCAGAGACCTGAGGAGACAGCAGCAGCACAGAGTCCAGGGAGAGGGTGGGCAGCTATAGAGGCTGGGAGATAGCTACTTCCTGCCCTGGGCCACTTTCCTGGCAATGCTGTTAGCCAGCCTGGTGGGCTGTACGTACTCCCTTTGCCACCCTGTAAGATGGCCAGGTCGGCCTGAACATCAAAGACCCCAGCCTAGCTCTGACCGGGGCAAGGTCAGAGCAGCCGATTCAGACCGAGTCTGCCTGCTTGGGTCATCAGAGGGTAGAAGTAAGTATGAGAGACGGGGTATCTATAGGCCTGAAAGAGCCAAGAGAGTCAGGTCTGAGGAATTTATATTTGAGCATAGGAATCTGTTCCCCAGAAAGTTCCCTGCCTGGGGCTAGGCAATGATTTGGACTCTGGGATAGGGGGGGAAGAAAGGCAAAGCGTAGATAGCAAGAAGGACTTCTCTGAGAACAAAGTAGAGAAAAGGCAGAGTGGGGCTATCGGTGAAAAGAGATCAGAGGGCAGGATGGAGAACACCCGGACTCCTACCCAGAAGGGAGAGTGAGGCAGCAGGCTGAGGCCTGTGAGGATGATGGAAGTGAGACTCCCTGAGGGCACCCCCTTTCCACACTTCTGCTGCCTGGGGCTCTCTGATTGGTCCCCGGGGTGGGGATGTGGTGAGGATTGCTTACCCAGAGAGTACTTCTGTGCTTGTTTCCCCAGAGCCATCCGGTGACAGCCTCTGGCTGAACATGGCCTTACCAGCCCTGGGCCTGGACCCTTGGAGCCTCCTGGGCCTTTTCCTCTTTCAACTGCTCCTGCTGCTGCTGCCAACAACAACTACAGGGGGTGGTGGGCAGGAGCCCATGCCCAGGGTCAAATACTATGCAGGTAAGTGTTTGATGGCCAGGAAGTGTGGGAATGACAACAGTGAGTTAGAGTGGCTGGCAGGAAAGCGAGAGGAGAGGAGGGAGGGGAAGAAAAACAAACGTGGAGGAACAGATATGCCAGAGAGAGACAGACAGCTTCCGAGAGAGATTGAGAACCAGAAATAGAAGTTCAGACTGAGACAGACAGAAGTAAGAGATGAAACCACTTGGGGTGAAGATTGAGGAAAGAAAGAAGAGGGGCCAGGTGGCCAGAGGCATCACTCTTTCGGGTTCCCCCAAATCGGTGATATTTCTTTCCCTCCTTGAATATCACCGTCCTCGAGCTGGGCACCTCAAACCCCAAACTGCTTTCATGCCCCTAGTTGCCCCCAAAGCCAAGGCCCATGCTAGAAGATCATCTGTGGACCTGACGATTCAGGGTACTCCAGGCCCATGCCAACCACACAGATCAGGCTAGACCATGGTATGTCTAGCACCTGGACACCAAGGTTATGAGAATTTAGAGTGGCCCCACTGAGGCACAGGCTCTGGAGCCCTGTAGGCACAGCCTGGCTGCTTTCTTACAGAGGCTGTGGGGCTGCTGGCACGCTCACCTCCAGGGAGAAGGTTCAGGGAAGGACATGTAAGGGTAGTAGGGGCAGGGTATCCTGGGCACTTATTTTTCTGGGGCAATATGGTAAAGGAAATGTATGCTGTCCTTTGATAGAGAGGCCTCCTCTCTGTTGGGTGCTGGGATTACCAAGATAAACAAGACTCAGCCCGTGCCCTCCCAGTGCTCAGAGTCCTGAGGGGAAGCAAAGGAGCAGACAGTCTTGCTACAGGGTGATCAGTTCCGTAATGGAGGGGTTTATACAGTTCTGATGGAGGCCGGCCCTTCTAGCACCTTGCCACACACTATTCCCCAACTCCGCCTATTGGTCCTGTCTAAAACTCTGAGCCTTTAAAAGTAACAATTAGCTAGTCGGTCCTCTGATGCAAAAGCGCAAATATGCCCATGAGAGAGAATCTGAGGAGCTCCTTCCCCTTGCTGATGGCCAGTGGGACAGGAACACCCATACCCCATCACTACATCAAAGTGACAGAGAGGACCTAGATGAGCCACCTAGGCTCACCTCCCCTGTCCCGGTGACATCCAGGTATGCCCATGGTCCTTTGAAGAAAGGTGTTTTCTTTCTGTTCAGCTTATGGCAGTCATTTTAGTGGTGGAAATTTCCTGCAGTAGAGGACAGAAAGGAAGTGGGATTGATGAGTGGGACCCTATAACCCACAGCTACTCTGACACAGTCTTATCTGTATGTAGCTTTCCTGCCTGTGGCTGCCAACATCTTCCTGTCTGTTCATCTGCCTTCTGCTCTCTCTGTCATCAAGGACCTATGTGCCCTCCCCCACTGCAGCCCCGGAAGAGCATCCTTGTACCTCACTTTATTTCCTGTCCCTTTGTCTGTCTGTTGGGTGTGGGCTGCCCTCTCTTAGTCCCAGGCTATCATTACCCAGTCTTTGGCTGCCTCTCCTCTCTTCTGTGGGCTCAACACACTAAGTTCCTATGGCTGCAAGCAGTGTGGGGTGAAGGAGGGAGATGCTGATAAAGAATGGGTCCAGCCCTCGCCGGTTTGGATCAGAGGTTAGAGCGTTGGCCTGCGGTCCAGAGAGACCCGGGTTCAGTTCCTGTAAGGGCGTGTACCTAGGTTGCAGTTTGTCCCTAGCCCTGGTTGGTCGTGTGGGTGGTAGCCACTTGATGTGTCCCTTTCACGTCGATGTTTCTCTCTCTCTCTCTTCCTCTCTCTCCCTCCCACTCTATCTGAAAAAAAAAAAAGGAAAAATGTCCTTGGGTGAGGATTAAAAACAAAGAATGGGACCCTGGCCGGTTTGGCTCAGTGGTTGGAGCGTCCACCTGCGGTCCGGAGAGACCCGGGTTCGGTTCCCGCTAAGGGCATGTACCTAGGTTGCAGTTTGTCCCCTGCCCTGGTTGGTCGAGCGGGTGGCAGCCACTCGATGTGTCTCTTTCATATCGATGTTTCCCTCTCTCTCTCTTCCTCTCTCTCCCTCCCACTCTCTCTGTACAAAAAATGGAAAAATGTCCTTGGGTGAGGATTAAAAAAAAAAAAAAAGAATGGGTCGAGTTGCCAAAACCTGGGAGCACACTCTGCCACCCTTTTCCATTCCCCTTCCCCCACTTTTATGTCAGTAATCAGCTGCTTGCCCACCAGCTCATCACTCATCACCCTTCTCACCACTTCCCAACAGGGGACGGACGCAGGGTTCTTAGCCTCTTCCACCAGAAGAGTCTCCAGGATTTTGACACTCTGCTCTTGAGTGATGATGAAAGCACTCTCTATGTGGGAGCCCGAGAGGCTATTCTGGCCTTGAATATCCAGGATCCAGGTGTGCCAATGCTAAAGAACATGGTGAGGAGGCCAGGGATAAAGGGCATGGGCTGGGAGTGAGGAGGGGGCCAGCAGCTGCCCTGTGCCTGTGCTGGCTATGGGTGAATAATTGCCCAATTTCTGTTATCTATACAGTTGGCCTTTGAACAAGATGGGTTTCAACTCTGCGGGTCCATTTATATGCAGATTTTTTTCAATATGTATACAGGAGGCCCTCTGTATCTTCAGGTTTCCCATCTGCAAATTCAACCAGCATTTTCTAGCTGTGGTTAGGAATCCATGGATGTGGAGGGCAGACTATATGCATTTTTCTACCTTACTTTATATAAGGAATTTGAACATCCATGGGGTCCTGGCACTAATCCTCCATGGATACCAAGAGATGACTGTAGTTAAGTTTTAGGGAGTCAAAATTTCACTATGCAAGGGATTGGCGCTTCTAACCCCCATGTTGTTCAAGGGTGACCTGTATTCAGTAATAATCAGCAAGTCTTCTATATCTGGTCTTTACACAGACAAAAATACCCTCACTATTCGTTGGTATCATGATTACTGGTTGAATAATAATTGCTAAAATGACTGAGATGGAAATCATTGACACTTGAGAGAACTATTGATTCAAATTGTATCAATAATGTGATCTTCATGCACTGGTAGAAATCACTGAAGCTTCTGTGTTAATTTATTTTTTATTTTTTTGAGAGTATGTTTATTGAAGCTGGGGACAGTGAAACAAGGAAGGGCTCAGGGTAAAAGAAGCAACAGGAGAGAGCCCAGGCGAGGCTGCTTTGGCTCACTGGAAAGTTAGAGAAAAGGGACCTTGAAGACAGGTTCAGGGGTGAACCCAGGATGAGCTGCCACTGCCCATTTCTCCCCTGGTTGCAAGTCTCATGGGGACCTTAGAGTTTAAGACATACACTCCTGAGAGAGAAGAACGGTGTGGGAGTACTCCCAGGGGGAGGGAAAGCGTGCCTCTGTGTTAAATTTTAGTCACCCTACTAATGGCACTAATGTGAGGGAGAAAAGGAGAAGGAAGGAAAATGGGCAGGGGAGGAGGGAGGTAGCAATTATGGAGCATCTCCATGGTTTGTATTTCTCTGTGTGGTCTATAGGCCACGTGACTATATGGGCTACTGGTTAAAACAGCAGATTTTCTGAGGTGTAATCTAGGAACTGACATTTTAAACAATTTCCCTAGGAAATGTGTGGTTTGACAACTGCTACTCTGTGTACTATGCATTGCCTTAAGAGCTTTACATGTGCCACCTAGTTGTGCCCTCCAGAAGCCTGTGAATTGACCAAGGTCATTCAACCAGTAAATAGCTGAGTCTAGATTCAAACACAGATCTGATCCCATAGGCCATGTTCTAGCATGGAGCAGCATCCTAGTGAAAAAACAGTATCACCAGAGTAATAGTCTGGTCACCAAGTGGTGTTATTATAGCACATCAGCAGGTCACTAACTACCAGGCCTGCTGGTGATTTCACACCAGAGTCAAAGAGGGGATGGCAAGTCAAAGCTAGAGCTGAACACCTCGTATCCCTTTATCTCCTATTCCCAACTCCCCAATTCAGATACCCTGGCCAGCCAGTGACACAAAAAAGAGTGAATGTGCCTTTAAGAAGAAGAGCAATGAGGTAAGCAGAGGTGGGGTTATAGGGGCTCTGGTGCTTGGGTCCACGCTCAACCAGTGAGCCATACCAGTCGGGCTGTAGGGGCTCTGAGGAGAGAACTCTGGTGTCCCCAGACCATCATCTCAGGTAGGACAGGCAGCAGAGGCCTACTTGTTTGCATGATTATTCCTGCATCATGTTCTATGAAGACATACACAGACTGCCTCAGCATTGCCCAGCTCTTCTCCCCACTAGGAAGTGAGGGAGCATTGGAGTTTGGGGGCTCAGGAGTTTGGGGCAAATATCCTGGAGGCCTGAATTCTCTCTCTTTTCCAGACACAGTGTTTCAACTTTATTCGTGTCTTGGTCTCTTTCAATGCCACCCACCTCTACGCCTGCGGCACCTTTGCCTTCAGCCCTGCCTGTACCTTCATTGTAAGTTACCTGGCACCCAGCTCTGAGACCCCAAGCCTCCCTCCTCACATCTACTCACAGCCCATCCTCTGAAGCTCTGGAAACCTCATGAGCTTCCTGGCCCCAAACCAATTTCTCTCTATGTCCCTTCCTCCCTCACCCCCTTCACTTTCCAGACATGAGACTTTGGCATTCTAATCTCCTATCCTCTCCCCATCCTTAGGAACTCCAAAATTCCAACCTGTTGCCCATCTTGCCGGACAAGGTTGTTGAGGGGAAAGGGCAAAGCCCCTTCGACCCTGCCCATAAGCACACAGCTGTCTTGGTAGGTGAGTATCAGATTCCCTGGCCCATCCCAACATCTGCTCTCTCAGGTCACTGACATGTGGAATCTGACAGAATTTCCTAAAAGAGGGGACAGAGGGAGGGAAAGCCAGGAACCTCAAAGCACAAGATCAGAGGGAGAACTAGGCACCTCAACCACCAGCTGCTGCTGAAGCTGCTACAAAGGAAGTGAAGAGAGATGGCTGTGGAGAGATATATAGAGGCAGGAAGGTCTGGAATGGGTCTTAGGCAGAAAAGAGGCCTGAGATTCAGTCAATTGTTCAACAAATAGGCACTGTGTGAACACCTCTGGTGTGCCAGGCATTGTGCTAACAACTGTAGGGGTTTCAGAGAAGAAAGCATGGCCCTGTGCCCTCCTGGACACAAACCACTACAGACTTCCTAACCTGGCTTCTTGGAGGAGGTGGCCTTTGACTTTTGAGTAGGACCTTGAAAGATAGGGTGAGTAAGGTGTTCCAGGAAGAGAAGGGTAGGACTCAAAGTGTGGAAGCAGAAAACACAGCCACCTTTTGGGAACAATGAGTGATTCTACTTGGCAAGTGGTTCAGCTGGGTGTGTTGGGAAGTAGGAGAAAAGGGCTGGGAGAGAGCCAAAACACAGAAGGCCAAGAGTGTTGGCCATTTCCTGTGGGCAGAAGGACCTAAGAAGGGTGCCTAACGTGGGAGCTGTGAGCTGAGCTTCATGGCTCCACAGGAAGGTGTAGAATGAATGAGACTGATGTGAATGCTGGCCCCAGACACAAGCAGGTATGAGAGGCGCAGGGGACCTTCCAACTGATAAGGTTCTCCCCCTTTCCCCCCCAGATGGGATGCTCTATTCAGGCACCATGAACAACTTCCTGGGCAGTGAGCCCATCCTGATCCGCACGCTGGGATCCCAGCCTGTGCTCAAGACGGAGGTCCGTTGGCTGCAACGTAAGAACCTGAGCCCCACCCAGCATAGGTCTGGTCCCCTTCCCCCAGCCCCGGAGACCTGGCGATTCACCCAACTCTCCTTTGTTGAGAGTATACTGCGTACAAGGCAGTACTGTTAGGCGCTGGGGGTACAGCAGAGAAGGACACAAGGCTCCCGTCCTCATGAAGCTTTCATCTTACATAAAGAAAGAAGTATCAGTCCTCCTCCCCTCCACCACCACGGCTACCCTCGATCAGCTGTAGGACCCGAGGCATCCAGTCTTCAGGCCTCCAGAGCCAAGCCAAGGGTTTTCACCAAAGGGAACCCAGGGCATTCAGATGCTCAATTCTTTTTTTTTTTTTTTTTTTTTTTTAATCCTCATCCGAGTACATTTTTCCATTTTTTGTACAGACAGTGTGGGAGGGAGAAAGGGGAAGAGAGAGAGAGGGAAACATCGATGTGAAAGGGACACATCGAGTGGCTGCCACCCGCATGACCAACCAGGGCCGGGGACAAACTGCAACCAAGGTACATGCCCTTAGCGGGAACCGAACCCGGGTCTCTCCGGACCGCAGGCGGACGCTCTAACCGCTGAGCCAAACCGGCCAGGGCAGATGCTCAATTCTTAAGCCTATCTGTCTACCCACCCCCTCCCCCTTCCGCCGTAGAGGACGCCTCCTTTGTGGCAGCCATCCCTTCTACTCAGGTCGTCTACTTCTTCTTTGCGGAGACAGCCAGCGAGTTTGAATTCTTCCACAAGCTCCACACTTCTCGAGTGGCCAGAGTCTGCAAGGTCAGCCTGGCCCGGAGGCGGGGCTGAAGTGGAGGAACCAATGGGGAGATGGCAGAGGCGGGACTAAGTGCCTTGAGCCCAATGGGAGAAGGGGAAAGGCGGGTAGGGGAACACGTCGGGTGGGAGGCATCCCTCACCCAGTCTGGCCCTTAGAACGACGTGGGCGGTGAAAAGCTGCTGCAGAAGAAGTGGACCACCTTCCTGAAGGCCCACCTGCTTTGCGCCCAGCCCGGGCAGCTGCCCTTCAACGTCATCCGCCATGCCGTCCTGCTGCCGGCCAATTTCTCCACCAATCTCAACGTCTACGCAGTCTTCACCTCTCAGTGGTGAGCCCCGGGGAACATGGGGGTAAATGTGGGGTCTGAGACCAGCCTCTGAGCTGCCCCGGCTCACCGAGGGGGGTAGGAGCTGAGGTGAGCCGATAGCACCTCCCAGGAATTTGATTTATGTCCTTCGTGTAGATGGGAAGAATAAAGCTTAGAGGGGTTTTTATTAGTTTATATCCTGGCTTGTTCCAAAAAGGATAGGAGGCAGCTTGCAAAATGTAACCATTAAAATAAATAAAATAGTGTAAAATAAAATATCCTATAAGGAAATGGGAATAAAAGGAGAATAAGAGAAGCCAAGGATAGGATCAACACATTACAAATGTTTGTCATTTATACAGTCCCTGTATGCCAGTCACAAATTTATCTCTGAGTTTCCTAATGGCCAGAGCAAGGAGGGAAACACCATCGGTGTCATAAGATAAAAAATGTAGCCATTACTTGGAGGCTAAGAAAAGTTAACTGATTTGCTGTGGTATGGTTCCACAGTGTTTTAGATATCTGCTGACAATGTGTCGGGTACCAAAGATATCTGGTGTAAGCAGAGTCTGGTATGTATGCCATCCAGAACTTAGAACATGGTGTGTGCCACAGTCAAGTTAAAGAGAACAAGAAAAACAGACCTGTCTCCACAGACCAGGGCTAAAACAATAAAAATAGTCTTGTAGTCAGGCTCTGGTTCATTCTCTGAGGACCAGAAAACCATGGGATCTAAAGGAGGAGGGCTTCATCTGGAGCCTGTCAGGAACTGGTTACACTGCCCCTCCCAGGGCCAGAGCCCCAGTTAATTATCTTTAAGGATAATCACACTTAAATCCTAAAATGGGCCAGAGTCTGGGGCCCTCCCAGTCTCAGCACAACTAGGGGAAAGAGAGGCAGCTAGAGGCTGACCCAGCCTTCCATTTCTTGCCCTCCTGGGGTTTCTCACCAATGGTGGGCCAGGGCTGGAGGGGGATCTTCCTGATATAGCAGAGGACCACAATGTTTCCTCTGGATCTCTGCAGGCAAATCGGTGGGACCAGGAGCTCAGCTGTCTGTGCCTTCTCTCTCAAGGACATCAAGCGTGTCTTTGAGGGGAAGTACAAGGAGTTGAACAAAGAGACTTCACGATGGACTACTCGTGGGGTTCCTGATGATATCAGTCCTCGGCCAGGCAGTGTGAGTACCAGCCCCCATATTGAACAAAGCCCCATCTCCCCCACAGAAACACATACATAGTGCACTTATCAGAGTACCTATTATGGCATAATAACTGCCCAATAAATGTTAGTTTTCCCCTCCACCACCACCAGTCCTGTCTGCTCAGATATATACTGGATACAGTTGTCCACATTACACAGGTGTCCAGTCCCATCCTACACATAGAGAAGCTCCTTCTACCCCAGCTAAATACCCACCAAACACCTGGATATCTCACTGATGAAACAAGGGAGCATGAGCTGTGCTAAGGACTGTGTTGAGCATCTTCACCTGCATTCTTATTTAACTTTTGTTTTTTGATCAGAGTTGTATATGTACACCATTTAAAGAATCATATAGATTTACATGATTGGTTACAAAAACCAGCCCTATTCCCTACCCTCCGCTTTTCCCTTTCTAGATAAAACCAGCTTCAATTCTTTTAGCTGATTATTTTGGTATTTATCTCCAAACCTCTAAATAACATACTTTTTATTGTTACGTCTTTTTAAAAAATATTTTCAATATGCTTTTATTGATTTTTTTTTTTTTAGAGAAAAGGAGAAACATCTATGTGAGAGAGAAACATTGATCACTTGCCTCCTGTATGCACCCCTACCAGGGATCAAACCCACCACCTGGGTATGTGCCCTGACTGGGAATCAAACTGGTGACCTTTAGGAGCATGGAGCACACTCAACCAACTGAGCCACACTGGCCAGGGTTATTGTTGTGTCTGATGTTTCAGTTTCAGGCAGTATGCATTCCCATTCTAGGAGGTGGTGTGCTGCAGTTGGCTTGCAGCAACTAGCAAGAACTCTTTTTGCACATCTCTTTCCAAATTCATGTCCGATGACATTACATTGGTAACTTGAAATCAACCATGTGGGAGTATAAACTACAGAAATCAGCAAACACTACAAATCAGGGCTCCCCCACCCTCACTCCAGAGCTGCCTTACCAACACACCAGTGTACCCAACCCTCATCTTCCAACACAGTTTTATAGTAATTTTGGTTAGATCAATATGTATATTAAGAGTGTTATTATTCACAGATCAGCCAAGTAGTAAGCCATGATTACTTTTCCTTTTGCATATTTTAAAATTTTCCCTGGAGTTAGTAATTATTTTGATTATTCTTTGCTTGCTTTATTTTCTAAGCTCTTATCTTTATTTTAACCTTAAATTTTTGTTATTGTTTTTAATCCTCACCTGAGGATATTTTTCCATTGATTTTTTAGAGGGAGAGACAGAGAAACATTGATGTGAGAGATACACATTGATTGGTTGCCTCCCACATGACCCCAACTGGGGCTGGGGATCGAATCTGCAACCCAGGTACTTGCCCTTCACTAGAACTGAACCTGCAACCCTTCAGTCCACAGGCTGATGCTCCTTTTTTTTTCTTTATTCTCACCAGAGGAGGTTTTTCCATTGATTTTTAGATAGAGTGGTAGGGAAGGAAGAAGGGAGAGACAGAGAGAGAAGCATTGATATGAGAGAGACATATTGATTACTTGTCTCCAGTACAGCCCTGTCAGGGCCGGGGATCAAACCTGCAACCGAGATACATGCCATTGACCTGGAATTGAACCTGAGACTCTTTGGTCCTCGGGCTGACACTGTAAGCACTGAGCCAAACCCAGCCAGGGCCCCAATTTTTTTTTTTTTTTTAAATCCTCACCCGAGGACATTTTTCCATCTTTTGTACAGATAGAGTGGGAGGGAGAGAGAGGAAGAGAGATAGAGAGAGAAACATCGACGTGAAAGGGACACATCGAGTGGCTGCCACCCGCACGACCAACCAGGGCCGGGGACAAACTGCAACCGAAGTACGTGCCCTTAGCGGGAACCGAACCCAGGTCTCTCCGGACCGCAGGCCGACGCTCTAACCGCTGAGCCAAACTGGCCAGGGCCCAATTTTTTTTTAAGTGAGAGTTTATTAGTGAAGCAGTGAGACAGAGAGTGCCTATTCCACAAACAGAGCAGCCAACCCCAAACTCTTAATTACGTATCTGAATCTCTTCTGAAGACAGACCTGTTAGGTGTTCTAACAGTTTCATCTTCCTGGAGAGCCTTCCTGTCTGCTGCAGTCTAGACTGGAGGCCCTCTACATTTGTGCACAGCTGCCATCCTGGAACCTCCCTTCTTCATCCTGGGCATTCCCTTTGCTTCTTTTGTACACCATGATCTCATGTAATAATCTCATGCATCTCATGACTTTTTTTTTCTATCTTATTTTAGGGGAGGATAGTCTCTGTAGATTCCTAGACAAAGATACATGGCAGTAAAAGTCTTTTGAGACCTTGAATGTCTGAAAATGTCTTTATTCTACTTTCTCATTTGATAGTATGGCTAATACATGTAACTTTAGACTAGAGATAATCTTCCTTAAAAACTTTGAAGCTTGCTGTATTTTCTTCTAGCTTCTAGTGCTGCTATTGAGAAGTTCAAAGTTATCGTGAGCCCTAACTCTTTGAACGTCACCTGGTTTTTCCTCACTGGAATCTTGTAGGGCCTTTTCTTTGTCTCTGGCTATTCTGAAATTTCACAATATTGGGCTTTGATGAGACTGTTCATTTATTGTGTTGGACACTCAATTTGCCTCTTCAGCCTCGAAATTTAGTTCCTTCAGTTCTGAGAAGTTTTCTTGAACTATTTCCTCCTTTTTCATTCAACAAATATTTTTTATTTTTATTTTTTTTATCCTCACCCAACGACATTTTTCCATTTTTTGTTCAGATAGAGTGGGAGGGAGAGAAAGGAAAAGAGAGATCCTTCTACCAGATTTTTAATATCTGCTAAAATATATAGTTTCCTAGACTTTTTTGAGCTTTAAATATCTCTTTTATAAAATTGTTCTATTATGGAGAATTTCAAACATATCCAAAGTAGACAGAATAGTGCACTGGGCTTCTATGTACGTATCAGTCAGCTTCAATTCATAGCCAATCAAATTTGTTTCATCTATACTTCACCTACTTCCTTCCTTATTATTTTGGAGCAAATTCTGGACATCATATCATTTCATCTGTAATTTCCTATGGTTTAAAAAGTACCCATAGTACCATTATCACACTAAAAAACTTAATAACTCCTTAATATAAAATGCACTTAGTGTTCAAATATCTAATAGTCTCATAGATGTCATAAAAGTTTTTTCTTTTTTTAATCCTCACCCGAGGACATTTTTTCGTTTTTTGTTCAGATAGAGTGAGAGAGAGAGAGAGGAAAAAAAAAAACATCGACGTGAAAGGAACACATCGAGTGGCTGCCACCTGCATAACCCAACCAGGGCTGGGGACAAACTGCAACCGAAGTACGTGCCCTTAGCGGAAACTGAACCCGGGTCTCTCTGGATCGCAGGCCGATGCTCTAACTGTTGAGTCAAACTGGCCAGTGCAAAAGTATTTTTAAATATAGTTTATTTAAATCAAAATATGAATAAGATCTGTAAATTGGATTGGTTGTTCTTTTAAGTCTCTCTCTTTTTTTTAATCCTCACCCGAGGACATTTTTCCATTTTTTGTTCAGGTAGAGTGGGAGGGAGAGAGAGGAACAGAGAGAGAGAGAGAGAAACATCGACGTGAAAGGGACACATCGAGTGGCTGCCACCCGCACGACCAACCAGGGTTGGGGACAAACTGTGACTGAGGTACGCGCCCTTAGCAGGAACCGAACCCCAGTCTCTCTGGACCACAGGTCGATGCTCTAACCGCTGAGCCAAACCAGCCAGGGCCTTTTAAGTCTCTCTTAATCTAGATTTTCCCTTTCAATCTTCTTTTTTTTCTCTTGCAATTTATTTGTCATGTAGAATTTTACACAGTCTGGATCTTGATGATTTTGCAACTCAGTGGTGGAATATATAGTATTTTTTGTAAACTGATGGTTGGACATAGAGACTTGATCAGATTAAAGTCTGATCGAGGGTGAGAGCAAGACTACTTCCTCATGGTAGTGTGTCCTTCTTTCAGGATGTATATAATGTCTGGCTGTGCTCTTAAAGTAAGATCTCCTCTTTGTAGCATTATGTTCATTTCATAAATATACTGTCTTCACTTATTTCTCTTAAGATAGTAATGATACTTTGGTGAGAAGTTTTCTTTTCTCCAAATCATTTCTGTTTCCTCCTAGGTTTTTGTTTGTTCATTTTTTCTGTTTGTTTGCTTTGGTCTCTTTCATAATCGTGGTTTTACTCACATGTCTGTCTGGTAATCCTTGGCTAGCTACTCATATTTAAGAGCAGGTGACCATGAAGCTGTTTGGAAACTCTGTGGACATGGGTATGACTTGGCAACTTGAGCTCCATGTAGCTGCACTGAGGATGGTCTAGCTGGGCTATTTTGTTGGGGACTTTCAATGTTAGTATCTTTTAGTCTTTCCTCTGGGACCTCTAGTCATTGTTTCCAGAGCAGACTGTTGTAGTCTTCTGCTTGGAGAGAGATGTCTAGTTCCTGGTGTCAGGGAGCCATGGGCTAAGATGGTTGGGTGTGGGGAAGAATATTAGCCTCTACTGTGCCTACCTACTCTTACTCCCCCGCTTTCATGGTGGTGTCCTTCCTCAACTGTGCCTGCTGTCCTCCATCCAGCGACCCTCTGTCTTACCCTATCCAGAGAATAAACCTTCAATCTTGGGCCAGGGCATGGAAGAGAGAGTCACTCGGGCATGGAGCTGGGAGGAGATCTGCTTGCTTTTTAAAAAGATTTTCAAATAATTCTCTTTATTCAGCCCCTTTTTACCTCATTTCCAGAGGTGACTGGGGCCACTAATTCATGAACTTTAGAAACTGTCTTGGCGCTGGCCTGTTTGGCTCAGCGGTTAGAGCGTCGGCCTGCAGTCCAGAGAGACCCGGGTTCGGTTCCCGCTAAGGGCACGTACCTTGGTTGCAGTTTGTCCCTGGCCCTGGTTGGGTCATGCGGGTGGCAACCACTCGATGTGTCCCTTTCACGTCGATGTTTCTCTCTCTCTCTCTCCCTCCCACTCTATCTGAATGAAAAATGGAAAAATGTCCTCGAGTGAGGATAAAAAAAAAGAAACTGTCTTGTAAATCAGATAGTTTTGGGCTACCCCAGGACAATTTACTGCTGAGCCAAATCGGCCAGGGCTTTATCCCAGGACCATCTTAAAAAGACTTTTTTCGCTCTGACCATTTGGCTCAGGGGTTAGAGCGTCGGCCTACAGACCAGAGAGTCCTGGGTTCGGTTCCTGCTAGGGGCACGTACCTTGGTTGCAGTTTGTCCCCGGTCCCAGTTAGGGTTGTGTGGGTGGCGACCAGGCGATGTGTATCTCTCACGTTGATGTTTCTCTCTCTGTCTTCCTGCCTTTCTCCCTCCCGCTCTATCTGAGGATAAATGCAAAAATTTCCTCAGGTGAGGATTACAAAAAAAAGAGCACTGGCCGGTTTTCTCAGTGGTTAGAGCATTGGCCTGTGGTCTGGAGAGACCTGGGTTCGGTTCCTGCTAAGGGCATGTACCTCGGTTGCAGTTTGTCCTCAGCCCTGGTTGGTTGTGTGGGTGGCAACCACTCGATGTGTCCCTTTCACGTCGATGTTTTTCTCTCTCTCTCCCTCCCACTCTATCTGAATAAAATATCAAAAAATGTCCTCGGATGAGAATTGAAAAAAAAAAAAACTAAAAAAAAAAAAGACTTTTTTCCTGCTAAGTCTTTTACTATTTGTTTATTTGTTTTCCAGCTTCCAAATGTGGGGCTTTTGCCTCCTCTTCTGTTCTTCCCATCCCTGTAGGTTTCCTTTTAAAAAATCCCTTTGAACCCTGGTCAGTTTAACTCTGTGGTTAGAGCATCGGCCTGCAGACCAGAGAGTCCCAGGTTTGGTTCCTGCTAAGGGCATGTACCTAGGTTGCAGTTTGTCCCTGGCCCCAGTTGGGGTCCTGTGGGTGGCGACCAGTCCATGTGTCTCGCTCACATCGATGTTTCTCTCTCTCTTTTCCCCACTCTCTCCCTCCTGCTCTATATAAAGATAAATGCAAAAAAAAAAAAAAAGAAAAAGAAAATCCCTTTGATCCCGGCCGGTGTGGCTCAGTGGACTGAGTGTCTTCCCATGGACTCAGATATTCCAGTTTGATTCCTGGTCAGGGCACATGCCTGGGTTGTGGGCTCGATCCCCAGTAGGGGGCACGCAGGAGGCAGATGATCCATGTATCTCTCTCACAGTGATGTTTCTATCTCTCTCTCTCTCTCTAAAAAATCAATGAAAACATATTTTTTAAAAAATTTTCTTTGGGAGGAAGCAAGAGTAGGTGTATATGCTCATTCTGGCATCAAAATGCAATGTAGACGTTATTACCTCACTCTCCAGGCGAGGCAATTTAAACTCATAGAAGTGGGATAACTTGTCTGAGCACACAGCTTGTAGGTGACAGAGTTGGGCAGACAGTGCTCTTGGGTATGAAGGACAAGGGTCCTGAGTAAAGATCGTAACACAGGTGTCCCAAGAGCCCTGGCATGCTAGTGTTGGGAGGGCCTTTAGAGAACAGGCAGTTCAACCCCTCGTTTTATGGGTGAGAAAAGGAAGCCCAGGATGGAGACGAGACCCTCCCAGAGTCATGTAGCAAGTTCATGCAAAACCTTGCTGAGAAACGCTCCTTGGCACACCACCCTTTTATGTAACATCTTTCATTTAATCACTAACTCAGCAAACATTTATTGGGCAACAACTGTGTGCCATGCCCTGTGTTAACCCTTGGGCTACAGACACAAGTAAAACGGGGTCCTTTCCTGCAAAGGGCTCTCACTCTGCTTCCTGCCAGCTGCCAGACATCCTGGATGAAGGGGAGGGAGAGGAGGAGAAAAGTCATATGACTAACATTTATTGAGTCCTTAAGTCATGTCAATCACTGTTCTAATCGCTTTTCATGTATATTACTGTTCATCCTCACAGCAAGCCTATCATATATTGGTAATATGCCCATTTTACTGTTAAGGAACCTCAGGCTTGCAGAGGCTGGAATTCAAAGCCAGGCAGCTCCAGTCTGAACTTTAACCACCATCCGGAGATGAGGACTGCCATGAATGAGGGAAGCCAAGGAGACTGGCAGAGGGGGAAGAAGACAGGGAACAGGCATTGGTGGGTCACAGGAAGGAGAAAGCTGACCTGATCTGCCTTCTTCCCCCTTCAGTGCTCCATAGGCCCCTCCTCTGATAAAGCCTTGACCTTCATGAAGGACCATTTCCTGATGGATGAATCAGTGGTGGGAACACCCCTGCTGGTGAAATCTGGTGTGGAGTACACACGACTTGCAGTGGAGACAGCCCAAGACCTTAATGGGCACACCCATCTGGTCATGTACCTGGGTACCAGTGAGTAAAGGGCCTCAGGACATCCCTCAGGGGACTAGTGAAGAGGAGGGAAATCTTTGAGTTTATTCACTCATGCATTTATTCAACCAATGTTTTCTGAGCACCTCCTATGTGCCTGGCACCCTGCTAGGCTCTGAAAATATGGTGGAGAAACAAAACAGCCCAGTCCCTACCTCTTCTGAGTTTTCAGTCTGGTTGGGGAGACACACACAAGGGCTTCAGTGGCTCTCGCAAGAGCTGTTTATCTTATGGTGAAGACATGTTAGAAAGGTGAAGAGTGAATGGGTGGGGGGAGCTGGACACAGCAAGAGTAAGAGATCATTCCTTCAGGAGGCTTGGCTGTGAAGGGAAGAGAGGAAGGGGTGTGACTGGAGGAGGGTGCAGGGTCCAGCCAGCATTCTCTCTCTCTCTTTTTTTAATCCTCACCCAAGGATATTTTTCCATTTATATTCAGACAGAATGGGAGGGAGAGCGAGAGAAAGAGAGAGACAGAAACATCAATGTGAGAGAGACACGTCAATTAGTTGCCTCCCACATGACCCTAACCAGGGCTGGAGACTGAACTGCACCGAGGTACATGAATCGAACCCGTGACCCTTTGGTCCACAGGCCGACACTCTAACCACTGAGCAAAACAGGCCAGGGCAGCATTCTCTTTTTAAATACCAGAAAGAGCCTGGCTGGTGTGGCTCAGTGGGTTGAGTGTTGTCCCAGGCACCAAGAGGTTGCTGGTTCCATTCCTGGTCAGGGCACATGCCCAGGTTGTGTGCTCCATCCCCGGTAGGGAGCGTGCAGGAGGTAGTTGATCGATGTTATTGCTTCTCTCTCATCGACATTTTTTTCTCTCTCTCTCCCTCTCCCTTCCTCTCTCTCAAAAATCTATAAAAATATATTAAATAAATAAATAAATACAGGAAAGATTGTCAAGGTCTAGTAGAGAGAGAGAGATGGTGAGAGATGGACAGGCAAGGGGATAACTGGCAGATGAAGTTTGGGGGGAGCAGGAAGCCAGAGTCCAGGACATAGGTAAAGAAACTGACTGTAAATGGAGGAGGGCCAGCACTTCCACAGGGGCAGGAGTCAGGGCGGTATATATAGCTGGGGGGTGGGGAGGAAGCAGAGGGAGCTCTTTTTTTTTTAAAATCATTTTTTAAAAATTCTCACCCAAAGATAATGTTGTTCTCTTTTATCCTCACCTGAGGATATTTTTACATTTATCTTCAGATAGAGTGGGAGGGAGAGAGAGAAGGAGGAAGAGAGAGAGAGAAACCTCGATGCAAGAAAGACACATCAATTGGTTGCCACCCACATGACCCCATCTGGGGCCAGGGACAAACTGCAACCGAGGTATGTGTCCTTAGCGGGAACCAAACCCGGGACTCCCTGGTCCACAGGCTGACACTCTAACTGCTGAGCCAAACCGGCCAGGACCAAAGATATGTTTTTATTTATTTTAGAGGGAGAGAGAGAGACAAACATTGATCGGTTGCCTCCCATATGCATCCTGACTGGGGATCAAACTTGAAACCTGAGTATGTGCCCTACCAGGAATTAAACCTGTGACCTTTTGGTGTACAGGACAATGCCCCAACTAACTGAGCTACACTGGCCAGGGCAGCAGAGAGAGCTCTTATGTGAAGGCTTTTATGTTCTCTGTGAAGTAGGAGGACACAGGTCCTGAGCTGGGAATGAGGGGTGGAGAAGGTGGGAGGTTTGAAAAGAGAGGGGCAGATGTAAATAGTCATCATGGACAGAAGGAGAGAATCACAGGGGCTGTGGATGATTGCCCAGCATGTATATTAAGGGGCCTGGTGAGGTAGATGACCTTGAGCTTTAGTGGAAGAAACCTGCCAGATTCATTCATTCTTTTAGGACCTGTTACTAGGCACCCTATCAGCCATGCATTTATGGGGTATACAGTAGAGAACAAAACAAATGGAAAGCTTGTCCTTGTGAGGTGCAGGGAGACAGACAATAAACATACCAAGTCAATGGTGTTGGATGTTATAAGATTAGAAAATTAGTCTGATATGAGGGGCAATCAATAATGCCAATCAGGGCGGTTGCAATTTTTAAAAGGGTGGTCAGGATAGAACTCACTGAAGTGCCTTTGAGTAGAAACACTTAATGGAGGTGAGGGAGGCTGGTGATGTGATTTTCCACAGAAGCACTCAGCTGTCCACTGCTCCAGGTCCACGGAGAATGTGGACAGTTGTTCCTTCAGGGATGGAGTTTTATCAGGTGGTTGTAAAGGAAGGACAGAGGGGAGGGATTTACAAGAGCGCTCCATCTCCGTGGCACCGAGGGAAACGGTCTGACAGATCTGGGTCCAGTGCCTGTGATACTTCAGAAAGAACTTTCTGACAGCTGAGAGGGCGTCTGGAGTCAGGGAGGGAGAAGAGAGGGGTCTGTGGAAGAGGTGAGACCGTTTCAACTCTGTCTCTCCACAGCCACAGGGTCCCTGCACAAGGCTGTGGTGAGTGGGGACAACAGAGCTTATCTGGTAGAGGAGATCCAGCTGTTCCCTGACCCTGAACCTGTTCGAAACCTGCAGCTGGCCCCGATCCAGGTGAGAAGGTACCTTCTAATAGGGTGGGCCTAGGGTGCTGGGTCCTTGCTAGGCATGGCGGGGGCACCCTGACACTCTCTATCTCTCTTGCAGGGTGCACTGTTTGCAGGCTTCTCAGGAGGTATCTTGAGGATTCCCCGAGCCAACTGTAGTGTCTATGAGAGCTGTATGGACTGTGTCCTTGCCCGGGACCCACACTGTGCCTGGGACCCTGAGTCCGGGATCTGCCGCCTCCTGCCCACCTCCTTCCCGTGAGTGTCAGCCCTAGATGGTGCCAGCATCCTTTCTACGCAGCTTGTGCTCCTGTTCTTCTCTTTAGGGGTTACTGACACATTCTGTCTAAGATCCCCACTCCTTTGGTGGGCTCCTCCAGGGATGGGGTTGCACCCAGCAGTTCAGAAGCTGCTCCAGCATCCTGGGTCTCTCCTCTGCTCTGTTCTACCTTGTGTCCCCCCACCCCAGCCTTCTTTCCCACTGCTTCTTCCCTGCTCTTTCCACTTTTGTCTGTTTGAAGGGATGATTTTTTATTTCCTTGCCTTCTCAGGAAGTCTTGGAGGCAGGACATGGAGAAAGGGAACCCAGAGTGGGCCTGTGCCAATGGCCCCATAGCCAGGAGCCTCCGGCCTCGGAGCCGCCCCCAAATCAGTGAGTGTGGGACCAGGGGAGGTGCAAAGGCTCGAGAGGATTTCTTGGGAGGGGTAGGCATTCTTGCCTTAATTTCTTCTCCCAGCACCTGCGTGGTTTGAGACCTGAACACCCAGAGTTGGGTTGGATTTGGGTCCTGGCTGTAGGAAGAAGGGATAGGAATTCTAAAGTGGGATTCAGGATTGAGGGTAAAGTTGGTTTTGGTGGCAGAGTTGGAGTCAGATAGACTGGAAGTTAGTTTGGGGTCCAGATTGGAGATAGGGAAGGAGTCAGAGTTGAGTTTGGGAGTTGAAATGGAAATTGGAGATATTCACTGGAAGTCCAAATGTAGGGTAGAGACCCTCTCCAATCTTCCTTCTCCCCCACATCTCTTAACCTTTTGCCTCTTTTTCTTCACCTACAGTTAAAGAAGTTCTGGCTGTTCCCAACTCCATCCTGGAGCTCCCCTGCCCCCACCTCTCAGCCCTGGCCTCTTACCACTGGAGTCATGGGACAACAACTGTCCCAGGAGGCTCCTCCATGGTCTACAATGGCTCCCTCTTGCTGCTACTGCGCGATGGGGTGGGGGGCCTCTACCAGTGCTGGGCCACTGAGAACGGCTTCTCATACCCTGTGGTCTCCTACTGGGTGGACAGCCAGGACCAGCCCCTGGCCCTGGACCCTGAACTGGCAGGCATTCCCCGGGAGCGTGTGGAGACCCCGCTGACCAGGGTTGGCGGTGGGGCTGCCCTGCCTGCCCAGCGGTCCTATTGGCCCCACTTTCTCATCGTCACTGTACTGTTTTCCTTAGTGCTTTCAGGAACCCTCATCTTCCTCCTCCTTTCCCCACTGGGGGCACTCCGAGCCCGGGGCAAGGTCCAGGGCTGTGGGACCCTGACCCCTGGGGAGAAGGCCCCATTGAGCAGGGAGCAGCACCTCCAACTTCCCAAGGAACACAGGACCTCTGCCAGTGATGTGGACGCCGACAACAACCACCTGGGCACCGAGGTGGCTTAAACTCTGGGCACAGACTGAGGATGTGGGGTAGGGCGTGGCACCTGGCCATGCTGACCGGGAGCCTGACTGGTGCAGACCTGACCAGGGAGGGAGTAATATGAAAAATCACCTTCCTCCCGCAAGAGTAGCTTCTCTGCCACTCTGTGCCACCAGTAGCATTCAGTGGTGACTCCCCTGTGGGATTCCCTTCTACTAAGCACATGGGCTCTCAAACGGTGGCCACCCCACCTGGACTGAGGCTGATAGGAGAACCTTGAGAAGATCCTTCAGTTCTGGCTATTCCGGGACCCTCCAGAAACATACCGCTCCAGGAGACCCTAAAACATCTGACTGTTTTAGAATCCTATGGTAATAAACACCAAACATCTAAACAACCAGAAGGTAGCACACTGCTCCTGGAAACTCCACTCTGATAACAGCTGTCACCTGGGACATCAGGACTCCCCTCTCCCAGGGATCTTTAGGGTTCTGCACGGAGCTGCTCTCCTTTATCGACTGTGCGCCACTGACTCCCAGGAAGTCTTGAAGGCTGACCACTTTCCTTCTTGCTTCAGTTGGAGGAGGTTGTGATCTCTCACGGCCTGACGAGAATGACAGGGGTAATCTGAGCCTTGTTCATGCCTTTACCCTGGCTGACCCTTTGACCTCTGTCCTTTCCCCTTTCCTTTGCTTTACAATTCACAAAACTGCTTGTCACAATTTATTTTTTATTAAAAAGACAAAGCCTATGACTGGTGCTGTTTTTGTCAGAACAGAGTTCTCTAGCAGAGGACTGCAAGATGTGAAGGGAGCAGGCATCCAGGACATCAGTGGCACTAGGGCCGGATTTGTGGGTGATTGTTTCCTAGAACTCTTCTGCCCTGCTAGCTTCCTCCACAACCAGTCCAACAGCCTTTCCTCCACACCAGCCATTACTAGAGAGTATCTCAGACTGCCGTTCAAGCCAGCACTCTGTTGACCAGCCTCAGCTTGTGTCTGCTGGCCGGGCAACACCTGATCCATCTCTGGGTGGTGGTTTGGCAGGTGTCCCTGTAGCCCTGCAGTTACTGTCCCTGGCTCTTCCTCATTTCTTATGACTCCAACTCAGCCCCTCTTTCCCACTGCAGCATTTGGTTTCAACCCTTGGTGGATTTAATTTATAGAAAGACCATGCAGCCTCCCCTATCCTGACTACATCCTTCCTCATATCTGACAAACAGTGCTCTCCCCACACCCCCATACCAGCTTCCCCCTCACCCTCCTTTCACAAAGTACATGTCCCTCTTCCAGTCAAGACTAACCAGTGCCTTTGCCCCCTTTTCTCTGCAGAGACCCCCAACATTGCCCCCTCTTTACCTCTACCTCAGCTTAATCTCCCCTCTCCCACCCTCAGGTATGCTAGGTGTTCTCTGTAGGAATAAAACAAAACAACCATCCCAACTTCAATCTTTGAATCTATGCCCTCCACCCTTACTTGCTCTCTTTCCTGTTAGCACCAAACACGACAGAGTGTCCATGCTGGCTGCCTCTCCCACCTCCCACCCCCACTGTCACCCTCACCCTCTTCAAACCCCTGTAGTCTGGCTTTTTTCCCCACCTCTCTGCTCAAATGACTCTCCACAATTACCCATAAGCAACTGACCTTGACACTATGTGGTCTTCACACCTTGGCCACCCTTATCTTCTCACAACTCTCTTCTACTATAGTTTCCTATTTTTAAAAAAATTTTAGTTGTGCTCGGCTGGTGTGGCTCAGTGGTTGAGCACTGACCCATGCACCAAGAGGTCACTGGTTCGATTCCCGGTCAGGGCATGCAGGAGGCAGCCAATTGATATTCTCTCTCATTGATGTTTCTATCTCTCTCCCTCTCCCTTCCTCTCTCTCTAAAATCAATAAAGAAAAATAAATAAATATATTTTAGTTGTGATAGAAAGCACATACTATAAAATTTATCCTAAACCTTTTCATCTTGCAGAACTGAACATCTATAGCCATTGAATAACTCCCCATTATCCCTCCTCCAAGCTCCTGACAACCAACATTCTTCTCTGTCTATGAATATGACTACCTTAGATACTTCATAGGAGTGGAATCATACAGTATTTGTCCTTTTGGGACTGGCTTATTTCACTTACCATAATATCCTCAAGGTTTATCCGCACTGTAGCATGTGACAGGATTTCTTTCCATTTGAGGCTGAATAATACCATTGTATGTATATACCCCATATTTTTTATCCATTTATCTGCTGATGGACAGTTGGTTTGTTTCATGTCTTTGCTGTTGTGAATATACTGCAGTGAACATGGGTGTGCATATCTCTCTTCCAGACCCTGTCTGCTTGGCTTCTTTATTGGAGTTATTCAGTTTCTCTAGTTCTTTTTTTCTCCCCTGAAAACTCCTTTGCATCCTCCCATTACCCAACACAATTTTACCCTGAGGCCTGGCTTTCACTTTCGAAGCACTCTTTCCAAACTTCCTCTCCAGTGGCTCCCCTGATGACCTCAAAGCCAAGGGCAGTGGGACAGCATGGGGCAATGGAAAGGGCACTGGGTCAGGATTGGGCTCCTGGGGGCTTCATCTGCTCTTAATAGACTCAGACAGCCTTTCCAGTCTCTACCACAATTTTATTTTATTTTTTTTAGAGAGAGAGATAGAAACATCGAAGTGAGAGAGAAACATCAATCAGCTGCCTCCTGCATGTCCCCTACTGGAGATCCATCCCGCAACCCAGGCATGTGCTCTGACCAGGAATGGAACTGGGACCACTGAACCACATGGGCTAAGCTCAATTTCTTTTTTCTTTCTTTCCTTTTTTTTGATTAATCCTCACCTGAGGATATTTTTTTTCATTGATTTTTTTTTAATCCTCACCCAAGGATATTTTTACATTTATCTTCAGACAGAGTGGGAGGGGGGAGAGAGAGAGAGAGAGAGAGAGAGAGAAGCATCGATGTGAGAGAGACACATTGACTGGTTGCTATCCGCACAACCCCAACCAGGTCCGGGGACGAACCTCAACCCAGGTATGTGCCCTTGGCTGAAATCGAACCCGGGACATTTTGGTCCGCAGGTCAACACTCTAACCGCTGAACCAAACCAGCCAGGACAGATTTTATTTTAGATAGAGTGGAAGGGAGGGAGGGAGGGGGAAGAGAAAGAGAGGGAGGGGAAGAGAGAGAGAGAGACATCGATGTGAAAGAGGCACATCAATTGGTTGCTCTCCTACACAACCCTGATGTGGGCTGGGGAGCGAACCCGCAACCCAGGTACGTGTTCTTTTTTTTTTTTTTTTTTTTTTTAATCCTCACCCGAGGACATTTTTCCATTTTTTGTACAGATAGAGTGGGAGGGAGAGAGAGGAAGGGGGAGAGAGAGAGAAACATCGACGTGAAGGGACACATCGAGTGGCTGCCACCCGCACGACCAACCAGGGCCGGGGACAAACTGCAACCGAAGTACGTGCCCCTAGCGGGAACCGAACCCGGGTCTCTCCGGACCACAGGCCGACGCTCTAACCACTGAGCCAAACTGGCCAGGGCCAGGTACGTGTTCTTGACTAGGAATCGAACCTGTGACCCTTTGGTGTGCAGGCTTACACTCTAACCACTGAGCAACATCGGCCAGGGCTGTACCTCAATTTCTTCCCTTCTTGGAAGAAGGAATGCACAGGAAGCTCTTTCTGATGTGAGTATTATGGGTCCCTCACTGCCAAATGAACAGCCCCTCCCCTTCTCTGCCTCCCCCAGCATCACTCTGGAATGTACTCTTTCCTCATCTCTCCCTCAGATACAATTTAGAGACTACCTCCTTTGTGCCATCTTCCCAGCCTGCCCAGCCCTGGCTGATTATTCTTCCCCAACATTTCCCCAGCACTCACTATCTGTATCACTCATGAGGTACTTAGATCCAGCCATATGGATTTAAGACATAGAACAGATGGCATATGTGAACAGAGAACCCCACTCCAGGTGGAGACAGGAGTATAACAGCCTTGTCTCCACAGTCTCCAGTGTCAGGCACTATGCCATAGCGAAAGGAGCCCTCAGGAAATGCTTACCATTTATGAGAGTAAGCCTTGGTCAGTCTCATCCTATGTGACCTCTCTGCAGCCGTTGACATTGTGACAATTCTGGTTACACTTTTCCTTTGGCCTCTGGTTGCTGTGCTCTTGCTACCTTCCTACCTTGCTGGCCACTGCTTCTCAGTTTCTTCCCAGGGCTCCTCTTCTCATATCTTTCTTTAAAAGTCCTCTTGGACAATGTCTTCCATGCCTATTGCTTCCACTTTCACCTGGTAACCAAAGACGCCCATTCATTCATTCATTCATTCATTCAGCAAACATGCACTCAGTACCTGCTATGGTTTAGGATATGGCCTAGACAGCTGGGGAGACACCTGAATAAGACTTGCTTCCTGCCCTCACAGGATTTATAATTCAGCAGTAGGGATGGAATGGCAACAATCAGAGCTGGGGGTGGGGTGGTGAAGAGGAATTGTGGGGACAATGTATTGCTAGCTCATATTTCTTTCCACCCCTCTAGCTACTGGTTATGTCCACCTGGATACACCACAGGCACATCTAATGCAACATGTCCCAAACTGAATTTATTGTCCCCTCCAAGCCTGCTTCCCCGCCCATGTTCCCCATGCTAGTTCATCACACTGCAATGAAGCAGCTTGAGACTCATCCATACTTTCTCTCTCACCCCCTCCATATTTAGTGGGCCATCAGGCTCATCTCCTCCTCCTCCCTCTCCCCATCATTTCTCAGCATCTTTCCAGTCCCATCAGGCCCAGGCAACCTTACTAAGACAATCAGAGCTAACCCCTAACGAGTCTCTGCCACTTTTTCCTGCTCCCATTCATGCACCACTCTCCAGTCAGGGTCAAGGGGAGCTTACTAAAAAAAAAGTTTGCCTAAAACTCCAAATAGCTTTTCATTAAATTCAGGATTAAAAATGTAAAACTCTGCCCGGCCGGTGTGGCTCAGTGGTTGAACATCAACTCATGCACCAAGGGGTCGCTGGTTTGATTCCTGGTCAGGGCACATGCCCAGGTTGTGGGCCCAATCCCCAGTGGGGGCATGCAGAATGTTTCTCTCTCTCTCTAATATCAATAAAGAAAAAAATGTAAAACTCTGTTGGGATAGCATGCCTTGCCTCCAGCTCTTTCATACACACCTTGACAATACTTGCAGTTCCTGAGCCCCTCTATACAGTGTCATGTAAGCCTTTACTGAGTGTCCAGCATTACTCCAGGCCTTGGTCACACAGAGATGAAATGGCATATTGACTAAGTATGACAATGAGTTCCTTAGGGTATGCTATTTCTTCCCCCTAAAACATCATCCTCTGTGGATTCTTCTCTAACCTCCCAATCAGAGTTAACGCCCTCCTTATACACACCTTGTTATACATATTGCTGCTTCATTGTGTTTTCATGTGGCTGGCATATAGTGGGTACTCTCTCAATGCTGAAATCCATTAATTTATTCAACAAATATTTACTGAGCACCTACTATGTGACAGGCACTGTTAGGTGCTGAGGGCACATTGATGAACAAAAGAGACAATTCTTGCTGTTGTATAGCATACATTCCAGTGTGGGGGACAGATAATATATATTTAAATAAGTAAAATAGGTAGGGTACATTAGAAGGTGACGTGCCATGGAGAAAAAAAATGAGTTAGACAAGGAAGGTTGAGAGTAAGAGGGGTATATACAGTTTTAAACAGGGAATTTAGAA